TGGAGGTGGCGAGGTGTAGGTCGGGTCTGGTGGGTTGAGAGCCCCTCGGGGGGCAGCTCTGCCCTCCTCGGGCGTAACTCGAGCCGACAATACACATCCAAAATGGGCAGGGTTCCACGTTTTCTGGGCACTGTGTGCGCGCTCAGGGGTTGGTGCCTCCACTCGCGCGCACGCGCCAGTCTCTTCGACTTCCTGCCATCCGCCTTACTTCCGCTATTCCACATTATACTACGTGCACGCGGTGACTGCGGCCTCGCCGGGTGCCTCCGTGCAGGCGAGACCCCTGCCCATCTGCGGCGAGCCTATCGGAGGGCCGCGATTCCGGACAAAGAGACGAGTCGCCGGATAACTCGATAACCTCCCCGGCCGCGGTTCACTCCCGCAACACCCGCGGCAGGGTTGACGAACCTTCGCGCCACTTAATCGGATGACGATGAAGGGATTCCGCGGTCAAAGCGCCGAGAATGGATGCCGGAATCGCTTCGATCCACCCTACGAGGAGGGAACTCGATTTATCGACGCGACACTCGTGACAAACATTTAAAAATTACCATCTCGCGGAGCTGCTCGAACCTGACGCTGTTTCGATTACAGGACTCTAGGGAAATATTTTTTACCCCATCGGTAGTAGTACATTTAATGACCATGAGGAGTCATATGTGTTTTGTTACATATATTTGACGCGGAACTCTACCGAGCCTCTTCATCGTCTTCTCTGGTGTTTAATCTACACCCCTGGGGATGGCTTCTCGTGATCTGAATTTTTATAAGTCGGTTATTTGTTCCTTGATAATTCTTGGAAAATGAATTATTCGGATAATTTCAAGTGCGAAAATTTAGTGAAAAATTAGGTTCGCTTAATTTGTTTTTTTTTTTGGTAGGTTATGTATCTGCTCTGGCGTCTCTGAATAGGAACTGTCCTCGGGAATCCTCGAGCAGTCCGCCGCGATTAAGTCACCGTCATACGTGGGTGGTAACTACGTGTCCTCTAGGTAAAGCCGAAGGAACGTCGGCGCAGCCAAGCCAGCCGTGTATCCGTTTCCTCGAGGTGGAAGCCGGAGCTCGATTCACGGCCGGTCACCCCTCTCACCTGTCTCCTGGCGAACCTCGTATCCTGGAGGATTTAACAACTCCGTCCACTCAACCGATCGGCTCTTTGATCCTTGTCATTTTGTCCATCTTTTAATTTATAATCATTTCCTATAAATATTAAAATTGTAGAGAAAACGCACTTCGGCCTTGGGGAGAATCTTCATCGACGAGAAAATAATTGTTTATTGAAGAATTGTATTATCACAGATTTACAGTATTTTCGAAATCTTCGGTATTTACCTTGCCTCCTCGTACTCCCACCCCTCGTGTCTAGACCTCTAGATTTGACTCGCAGCTCCCTTATTACTCTAACGAGAAATAATTCACTCTCGTAACTGAAATAATTCACCCTCTTAATTTCGCCCCTTCTTAATTCTCCGGCCTTGCGCGAGTCGGAAACTCAAGGTCCATGGAAAAGAATTAATTCCTGGCTCGCTCATTCTCCTCTTCAGGTTTTCCTCCCCAGGAAGGGCACCTCGCGGGGGTGTCGCGAAATTCACGGAGAGGTGCATCGAGCGGTCAACGGGGTGCACCATCCAGGAACAATCGCGCGAGATGAATCTCCACCTAGGTGGGACGTAGAAATTCCCAGAGCCTCGAGATATCGTCTCTCCTGCTCCTCCACCCTAGGGAACTCCTCCTACGCGTCGAATAATGAGAGAAAAAAAATCAAACAGTAGTTAAAAAAATGTATGATTTTTTTTTTCTTCACTATTTTTATGGATAAATGAATAGTTTTCAGATATTTTAGTATTTATCTTCTAATTGGGAGGTAGGTGTGTGATAATTCTGCGGGGGGGATAATTTCTGGCCTGTTAGGATAACATATGCTCGGATTTGGATGCTCCCCTTGGGGTGGAGGTCTTTTGTCATTCGAGGCAGGAGATCATGATAGGACGGGAGCGAAAACAGGAATCACGTCGACGTCCAATCGATCCGTCGTTTCGACGTCACGTGTGTCGACTACTGGCACCCGTCAGGGAATCAACAAGTCAGCCTATTAGAGTGCATAATGTGGAACGAATATTACCGCGGTTAGAGTGCACCTTACTGCCGAAACGTGGGCAACCCCTACATGTGGTTGCATGAGGGGTTGAAGGGAGATCGGTATGAGATGTGTAATAGGTGCACGGTGCACATGGGAAGGTAGTTGAGCCAGGACTAATTTTTTTTTTTGCACCAAGGGGTGATACATCGAAGAATAAAAATCCTGGGTTAATTCCTCCGATTCCTCCTTTAAGGTAAACAATAAATTGCAATACTTCATCACACGCTACTGTGATAAAATTATTCTCTAATCTGATGAACACCGGGATTTTTGGCGGATTTGATTCTTTCGGATTTTTAGGGAACGAGATTCGCGAATGACTTTCCGCCTTCCTCGGGGCGCAAATTTAATTTCTCCCCGAGTGAATCAGGCTGAGACGTTCCCTGAGGACCGCATTGCGGTTTTCTGCGGATACGGGATACACTCTGGCTGAGATCTAATTTCTTTTTTCCTCGCGTCTCTCGGCGAGGACGGCCCTTCGGGGACGAGAGCTCGGTGGTGCTTTTTATCATCGAGTTTTCGGCCCCGCGTTGATTTATGCGCGCTCCTGAACTTTCGTTCCCTCGCACCCACACACCTCGTATATTTTAATAAATCGTGGAATAAACGATACAACTCTGGGTCGGAGGGAAGAAATCGGGTGACCCGCATTTCCTACGCCAGAATTTTCCAAACCTCGACTAGGAATCTCGGAATGACAAATTTTTTCCTTTTGAATAACCCCATCTCTAATGGTTCAGAAAATTATAAGGGTGCCTCCATACCTGTGGGTCGTGTGACTCTTCCTAAAATAACGTTTCTCAAACGCTAGACTTCAAAAAGGTACCTTAAGAATTAAGCACAACTCCGGGTTATTAAAAATTACCCCGTCCTTTTTTTTTTATTTAGAACACCATGCCGTGGAAAATGTCGACCTGGTTTATATATAAATTGTCAGGGAAAGGGAAGCTCACTGACGTCACTTGGAGAGACTTTACGCTGTGCGCTTTTCCCTGCTTCTTACCAACGTCATGCATTCTGATTCGAATCCCATGGGACGATTGAGACGAGTCGAATCCCATGGAAACTCGATCTTCCTCCGACGTGCTCGAGGTCCTTGCACAACGGAACGAAAATTCTCCAAAGAGAAGATTCTCAGTCGTCAAGCCGAGAGCGTCGTGCTCTTCTTTGGGAGAAAAAAAAATGGTACATTTATTAGGAAAGAAATTAATACACGTATTTAAATTCTTGGGTTTAAGTGTATTCCTGCTGAGGGAGAGAGGATGCTAAATGAATCACAGCAGAGGTTAACGAAGGGGTTTCCTTGCAAAGCGGGGAAGATCTACATGAAGAGCGAGGCGTCTCGAAAGTCGGCCGAAAGTTCCTTCTCGAAGAGCTAGTTTCGCGACTCGAGTTTGACTTCCTCGGATCGACTTGCGGTCTTCTTCAGGTTCTCGGGTGGGAAAACTCGGCGGTAAATCCGGATGTCCCAGCCATTGTGCAGGGTTCGCGGGTGTTCGCACGGCACTGGTAGCGTTATACCCGCCGTCTTCCAGACTTGCATAATCGAGACGCACGTGCGCAAAGTGCACATACGCAGGTACGTGCGGTGAATTACAGTGCACTCTTTGTGCAATGCCTTCGGCAGCCACGAGTCCTGACTCAGGACGGAGGCATTCCAGACCTCGAAAAGATCCCCTTCCGAGGAACCGTCGTTTTCCCCGGACACTCCCGGGTTATATCCGTACATCTCTCGGTACCGCTCTGCGTCACGTTTCCTTTAATAACATCCTAATCCTGGCGATCGTTTGCAAAGGACCCCGTCCTCGCATTCCGCGATAACGGAGGCTCCGGGAACTTTACCTTGCAACCCCGCAATGGTCCCCGTGTTGAAATTCCTTACCTCGACCCTATAACCCAAGAAATTTGAATTCTAGTTCCAAAGATCCCCAAGCGTTATAATTATCCACCAAAAAAAAAAAAGGAAAGAAAAAGCTTGGATAAAATTCCCCACCTTTCCATGCCAGGAAAAAGGAATCTGAAATACATTCTGCAGGGTATTTTTCAAAATTCGACGTCCCTCCCGAATTTTAATGTGCGGCTCCCAAGGTTCGTCTACCCCGCGCGACGGGAAAGAGCGCCGGAGATGAGGAGTAAAAAAAGATGAGCGATATTGAGAGAAGGGCCGACTAGTAAAAATGTCGGAGGGTTCGATTAGCCCGTCCATTAGAGCCCGTATGTCCTAACCTAAGCGGAGTCGCGGCCGCCACCACCACGGGGTAGCCCGGTGCGTCCAGGTAAGGGCAGCTGTCCACCAGGTGTCGTCGGGCGTCCCTCTCCCTCCCGTTGCGCCGAGCGGGGCCTCTCTCTCGCACTTGCGGCGCCCGGCGGCGGGCAGGAGTGGGGGGGCAGCGCGAGCGGGGATTGGTCGGCGGCTCGCGCGCGGCCTGGTCATACCCTCGGTGCACGCTCGCCGAGCCGTCAGTCGTCATCGAGCGCCCGAGGAGCGAGCACTGGCTCTAGCGGAACGCCCGGGGGGAGTCGCAGCGAACACGCGGCCCGACGTCGCGCTGATAACGGAGGGTTGGTCCCTGCTTTATCGACCTCGACCCCCCCTCCCTCCCGCGATGGACCGCGCGGCGCTCCACTAAAGAGCCGAGAGAGAGAGAGAGGGCGCGCGTCCACCACGTGGTCCGGCGCACACGTGCGCACTCCGCCGGCGTCACTCGAATAGGTGGACTCACCCCGACTGGTCGCGACGCGTCGCACTCGACCGCCGGAGAGAGAGTGTGCCGCACCGGGAGGGCGAAGTGTCCGGGACAGTGAGTCGAGTCGCGGTCTCGCCGGTGACCGACGCGGCCAGGAGGCCCGCCGACCTCTCGCGGGGACTCCGTTTCGAGGTTAGGTCACGACCGAGCGGAGCCTCGACTTGCTACCTCAGGCAGATCAAACCGGCCACATTTATGGGGGTGTCCGGAGAGTGCGCGGTCAAAGGTGCCGGCAGCAAGAGCCACCCCTGTCACTGCTGCACCCACGTAGCCAACGCGAGCGCCAGCGTGCCCGCCCACCACCATCACCACCCGCACCACCATCACTATCACCACCATCACCATCACCGGCACTCCAAGAGCCCCGTAGAGGCCCAGCAGGAGCCTGGGGACACCAACATCCTCTCCTCCCTCAGGAGCAAGATGAAGGTGCTCAAGAAGCTCAAGCGCAAGATGGGACTAGGTGAGAGAGCCACTCCCTACCGACTCGTTTACCCCCATAATCCGGATAGCTTTGCTTCCTATCGACCCCGTAGGTCTACCGGATATGGCAATCCCCCCCTTACATCGCACGTAATTTCATATTGCAGCAAATAATTTGACCCCCACGAGTAAACAACCGCGAATGGGTATATAAATCTGACGTGATATATGCATACGAGTTCGTATGTAAATGGAACGTTTAGATGAAAGTGTTGCTCCTTGAAGTATCGTATCGAAGCATGCATTTTTTATTGTGCACTGAATATGTGTGGATCGATCGCATTGGCGCATCGATCATGTCACGACCGCGTCTATTTAAGAGGGAACTGAGGCCGCGAGATTCCCTTCTCGGAAAATCGCAGTGGAGGGGAATTTCCTCGCTCTCCATAGTCAATGTTCCTTTACCGATCGCTAATTGTGCGTTTGCCCTCGATAACAATTACACATGGGCCCGGTGTCTGTTTTTCTCCGATTTACCATCTGGGAGCGGGAGCACAACGAGTCCCCTGTGAATCTACGTCTAGGAGGCCAAGATCCGACGCTAATCGCTCGTAAATATGAATTGATAGAAGCATATACAATATTCCCGGTAACCATACATTTCCAGGAATGGGGAATACCTCGTGACCCCGTAAGTTCCGGGATTCTGGTTTTAATTCTTCACTTCAATTCCCTCGCTGTTTATCAATTATTTGTAGACGACTCGCGGGTCTCCTTTATCCGTGTCCCATTTTGTCGAACTTTTGCGGCCCCGCAGCGGATATTCCGCTCCTCCCCCCTGCCCCATTAAGGAACTATCGCTTCCGCCGCGGAAGCGGCACTTCCGCCCCGGAAAATCGAAGACCTCCCTCTTCTCCGCCCGCTCGGCCTCCTTCGGGCCTTCCCCTCTTCCTCGTCACCTCCTACCCTTCTCTCCCTACCTCCCACCCACCCACCCACCTCCTATCACGCTCTCGCGTGTCGCGTGTCGCTGACGTGTGAACAATGAGTCTCCCTCGCGCGCGCGCGTGTATGGTCTAATCGAACCCGGGGCGAGCACGTCGCGAACAAGGGCGACCTATATTGCTCCCGTCGAATGAGTCGCTGCACCAGGGTGCAATAAGAACTACGAGAGAGGGGGTGTTCACCTGTGGGAATTTTTTTCCCCTAATTTGTCCTACTGGGTAGGGAACTGGTGGCGAGCGAAATTCAGTCTTGGGGAAAATGGGCATTTTCATAATTTCAGGACCCTCATTTATTATTACGTATTACGATAGAGGGCTTGGTCTTGATATTGCATAAGACTGGGGCACATGGGGATGCAGTTGTGCAGCGCACGGCGAGTGGCTCGATTTTTGCGAGTTCTCGGTTCTAAATCCACGAATCCCCCTTGAGCCCCTCGAGTAAGCTGCCATCGATTTATCGGGTATTCCTTGATCGTGCTCGACACTGCGAGTGTACTCTCCGTAGATGCATTAAGGGCGCACCGTCTCTATAAATATCCTCCTCGGGAGTCTCCTCGGGTGCACTCGAACCTCGGCGGCCGACTCGCGGGGGGGGGAGGGTACGCCTCGCGGCGGGCAAATGTCCCGAGGAATTACTCCGGATCTCGGGTAATTGCCCGCAATTGTCCCGATTAACGCGTCCCTCCTTCCGCCCCCGCCGTCCGGTGCATCGGACTCGGGGCGTCGCGGCGAAAAAATGGGGGGATCTTTAATTTTTATTTTTTCTAGTCTTTTGTAGACAAATCTTCCATTATCACCAGGACCAGGTCGTTCCATCTCGATTCCAGGTGGGATGACCCGCGGTCCGGCGATCTCCACCGATTGCAATTCAGTTCGTTTTCCGGCAAGGGGAGGGGGTCGAGGGGGTTGCATACACGGAGTGCAGTTGCAGTAGGCCGGGCGAAGCATGAAAAGCTAAGTTCTAAGCTGGATCGGCGTGCCCGTTGACCGAGTTTCGATTCAACGGGTGATTTAGCCCTGAGGGTGGGTGGAGGTGGCCCTGGTTTTCCTTCATTCACCCCTTCTTTCCCCTAGATATATCCCTGGTTTGCCAAGCTTTCCCGGTTTTCACGGTTTTCTCATCAGATGGCAGCGACAGCGCGCGTCAGTCGCGACCTTTTTTTTTCCTCCCCTCCTTTTTCGTTTTCTCTTACTTTTTTCTCTCCCCTCGCGCCGTCGTCCCTCCTCGTCGCTCTCGCGGCTCGCCCGTCGCGTCGTCTCTCTCTTCGTCTCCCTCCACCGGGGCGGCCATTGTGCACCGCGCACCACTGCAAAGTAGAACACTCCTCTCTCGGCCCCCTTTTGTCGCGACTTTCCTCTCTCTCCCTCTCTCTCTCTCCTCGCCTCCTTCCTGGTCCTTCTCCTCCTACTTCGCGGGGCCGACTCGCCGTGTGCTAGTTTTTTTTCCCGGCGATTTTTCTTCCCCGGGTCCCCGGGGAGCAACGGGAAGCCCGATTGATCGCCTGCTGATCTAGACGTGGGGAGATACTCCGCCTTATCGAGCCATCTTGGGGAACACTGCATCCGATGGCATTGTTTGATTAGGAATGAGGTTTCTTTTTTTTTCCCCCTTTTTTTCGTATGACACTTTAGGGGAGGAAAAGTCGGGCCTGATTTTTCGGAGCTTACAGAACTGTACGGGGTATTCCTTGCCGGGAGGCTGCCTGGACCAACGCTAAGAAGGCTCTAACCCCTTTTCTGGAGCACTTTGCGGGAGAGCTCGACCGATCCCCCTTCTCGTGGGAATCTCGGCGCGAAGCGAGAGACTCGCACGCGGCGTTTCGCTTTAATCCGCACTTCTTCCCATCTTTACCCCCTTTTGCCCCCTTTTGCCACTTGCCGCCCGCCGCCATCGCGCACCGGAAGACTATGTACGATCTACGCAATATCTTTTTTTTTTCTTCCTTTTCCCATTTCATTTTCAAATTGATAAACCATGATCGTCCATCGTGGTTCAGGGCTGCCGACGAACCGTGCTTTACCGGCGGTTTTATTTATCCGCGATTTATTCTTCTCCTGGGAATGTCTCCTTTCAAAGGGTCTGTGGGAGTCCTGCTTGATGCACATTTTGCAGTCTGTAATCGGCATTTTTTTTATCCCCGGCCCCGCGAGGCCCTTGCCATCGCGTGCGGAAACCGGCGGCGGATTTAATCCGCTTTGCGACGCGAATGAGGAGGATGCGCGGAACGCATCCCTCGTGAAGGCGCTCGGAGGTGCCTGAAAGCGCGTTAAGGTACCCACGAAGGTGTGCGTAATGGCGATTTACGAGCCCCGGAGGAGGGTCCCCGCTTTTCCTTTCCTAAAATCGCTTTCCCAGGGTCTCTGGGAGCATGGCGAGCATGGCTCATTCTTCGACGGAGCACGCCTCGTCGGCCGACTTTCCATGGCCGGTCCAGAGACCCGAAAAGTCCCCCATTATTCCGTACTCCCAGCTGTTCCTCCTCGGCGTCCTGAAACGAGCCACCCCTCCCGGTTGGTTCCTCGTTTTTCCTCCCGCGGGAACGACCGGATCCGGTGCCCTCGCCCCGACCTGGACGAACCGGGGGAGGAACAGCTGACGGATCCGTCGCCGGTAAATTTTTCGACGTCTCGTACCTGGCCCCGCACCTGGGGCCAGTGGTTCTCCCTTTTCTCTTTATCTCTCTTTCCTGCAAGTAGAAAATCATCTGCGCTCGGAGAAAAAAAAAAGAAAAGAAAAAACATTACCTCGAGAAAATTGTGAGAAATCCGCGGAAACGATGTTTCATCCCGAAAATATTCTCAAGGTACGAGTAATGAGAATGACAAAAATGACAATGTGGGAATTGTTCGTGTTATTTATTGCGATAATTTTTTTATCCCTGGAATAACAGACTGTACGTCGGTCGTTTGCGATCGAGGGGAGATTTTATTCTTGGGAGGTTGTTGTAGACTCGTTTGATAATTTTTTGCAATTTTTCGGCAGGAGAATCGTTGATACTATTGCGACCGTTTCTTTTTTTGGCGTTCGTAGGTAATCTGTATTCCTCTTGAGTCAATGGGAAATGCCCGATCGAGTTGCGAGATTATCTATGAATTCCTGACGCAAGTTCCGTCTGGGCTTACTCACGAGGATGATCCTTTTAATTTCTTTTCGCCTTTAACGAGAGGGATCAGCTATTCCGGGAAGATTTCTGATTCACGGTGTCTCGAGAGATGAGAGCGACGGCGGGGATAGCTATTTCGGGGATTCCCCGCCGTTGAAGGAAAGTTATATCGATTCCTCCTTTTTATTCGGTGTTTTATCACTCCCCGGGGCATCTTCTTCCGCGGATCAGAGAATCGCGTTGGGGGTTTTCTCCCCTCGAATTCTATAAATCCCGAGGCCTCCGTCCCTGTCAGGACCTCTTCCATTCGACGACCCTTCAGGATAGAGAGACCCCTCGGAGGAACTTCGTGTCGGAAGTAATAAAGACCAGCTCGAGGGCCGAGAGCTGCGGAAAAGAAGGGCTCCGTCTAGTTTCCCCCCTCGAGGAGAGTGGAAAACGACGGGCGATAATGCAAGGTGGGAGGGAAACGCCCAATAAGCTCTTTTTCGCTCTTTTCCTTGTCAATACTTGTCGCGAGACACGAGGCGCGATATCGCTTCCCTCTCCGTCTGTACCTCCTCCGTGAAAGATATCCACGAATTTCCTCCATTTCCACTTAAGCCGAAATTGACGGTAAAGTGAATACACTCGACGAGTTAAGTGAACCGATATACATCATGAATCCCCGAACAAATCGATTAATGATCCACAGTCGCGTTAATAATCCCGTGAAATTCGGAGAGGGCTTTAACACACTCGAGTACCGAGTTTACGTCGTATTGCAATATTACAATGAGATCACAATAATTTTTGTTTTTCTTTTCTCTTCATTTTATTCCTACTTAGGAGGTCGCGCCTGATCGATCCGCGATCGAGCTTCGATTCCGGGGTAATTAGTTAAGGACAGGAACGGGGGATTCTGGTTTCGCGAGGTTGCAGGACCTCCGGGG